TATAACCATTGGGGGTCACAATGGCCACATGCATCTAAATACAATGTGCTTTTCCTACAGAAGAGCACAAGTCCCTTACAATTAGGGATGTCCCGATCACCTTTTTTTGCTCCCGATCCGATTCCGATCATTTGATTTTGACAATTTGCCGATACCGATTTTTCCCGATCCGATCTTTATGCAATGCATTAAGAGAAAAAAGGAAAAAAGCATTCAAATTGTCCCTTAAGGTTATTTTTTTATTTAAATTGGATATTCTATCCAACATGGATATAGCTTCTTTCTTTCACAGCAGCATTGGATCAGTTCAGTTGTGCAGCATTGGATCAAAACAAAATAAAGCTTTTCAGTACTCGTTAGCTTACTGCTACAATTAGACACTGCGCCCTGCCCACTGTGTTGCCAGATTTGAGAGAAATAAGCAACCAGGTCTATGAAAACAAGCCCCAAAGAAGCAACAAAAACATGATGTTCTGTAATTTGAAACCAAAACTAAGGCCTCAGGATGACTTTAAGACTTGAACATGGTCATTTTTGTTTTGTAACATTGAATACAAAATGTAAAAAAAAGTATTTAAAAAAAATTAAAAATAAATAAATAATCCCGATCCCCGATTTTTTTTCTCCCGATTCCGATCTTTTGAAAATCACGTGATCGGATCGGGACATCTCTAGCCGCCATGTAAGTAGCATGGCCCCATCTACCCCCCCCCACCAGCCCTCCTTTATTTATAAAGAACTAATCAATGTAATACGCTAGAAGAAGTGAAATGACACTTTTGATCTAGTACAATTTTGACTGATATAAGAACGGACGTGGCACAGCTGTAACGTTGTTCCAGAAACTCCAAATGAGGTGAGATCATGCGAATGAGGTCAGCTTCTTAACTGTCAGTCTTAATCAAAACAATGACATGATGCCCGAGTTGAATAAGCACTCCTGTTTAGAAGCATTAGCAGCTGGATACTCTGAGGGGAATCAAACCAAAGAGAGCTCCAGCAAACAGAGAAACACGAGTTTATTGCATCTCAGATTTGTTCAAGTCTGCTGCTCGGTGGCAGACGGAAGAGAGGCGAGGGCTGTCTGTCTCTGCGTGTGGTTTGGCAGCAGAAGCACAGCCTGACCCTGTGGGTGTTCTGGGCAGGGCTGGTATGTTTGGCTGTAAGTAGCTGCTGCTAGTTTGGTGCAGACAGGAAGCTGAGCTGTCCCACGTTCAAGCCTTTTTTTGTGGTCTCATTCTGCTATTTGTGAACGCCATTGCCTCTTTGCTAGTGTCATGCATTGTGCAAGAAAGTCTTGTTTATAGTATTTGGTAAATTAGTCAACATAACTGCATTTAGAGAGTGTTTTTCCAGATCGCTCAAAGTACTTTTGCATAACAAAGGTTAGCATTCAAACACATTCGCCATACAAGGTGCCAAATGCTCTGGTTCAAGGGTTTGCATAAAACAGGGAAAGCAGGCAGAGTTTGAGAAGAACAGGGATTTTATTTACCCAAATGATTCAGAGTATCTAGGAGGTTACAAGACACTGAAGGAGTTGGGTTAGCATTTGAGATTTGACACCTGTCGTAGCTTTATTCTTTGTTTTGTTCAAGCCACTAAGAAACCTTTTTAAATAGACTAATGCGCTTTATAGAAATGTATTAGTTGTATTTACATTTGCTCTGACTGGCGGATGATGATGTGTTGTTTTTATGCCACTTGTGGTAAATAATAAATTAAATACAATTCAGAGACGGGAATATGCATTTCAAATAGTCAAACAATTCAAAAACTCAAATAAAATGATTTGAAAATGTAGATTTTCTTTCTTTATTATATGTTGTATGTCAGGGATGGGCAACTTTGATGGTAATGGGGGCCACATCATTGATGTACTGGCCACCAGGGGGCCGCAGATTCACTTGGAACACACACACACAAAAATTCCATGTGTTGTATGTAATTATTAACAAATATACTAAGTCTGGCATCTTCATTGACATTTTACAATCAAAGGGAACATCCCCCAAAAATGGGAACATCCTCTAATAAGCTCACTAAACAAATATCAGTTCACAGAAATGTTATTTAATGTTTACAAGTGGCATGTTTGTATTGAACAGGTTATTTAACAGTGGAATCAAACTATTTTAAACTATTGGAAAGCACGGAAAATGTGTGTGTATTGAGATTACCCATTAAGATGACATACACATGAAGTCATGGACACTAACCCAGATATTAGTTTTCTAACTTGAACCTAAGACACTTGTAGCCTTTCTCTGCTGACGCACAATAAGGGGAATGTCAACACAGACACCTGTCAACCCGCACTCTGCTGTTCCTCAGTGCCGCTCCCCCTCCCTCCCTCCCGCTGAAATTATGAATGAAAAGCGTATAGTAATCATAGATCACAGGGCAGGGTCCGTGACAGTTTGTTTTCATCTGATTTCAAATAAACAAATTCTTGGTTTTAAGAATATTAAACTTGTTTCGACAAATTCATATGATAAATAACTTTTAAGTTTGTAAAGGCTTAATTACAAGATTCAACTTAACGTCACAGCAGACATAACAACAGCCGGTGTTTCTTGTGAGGGTTTCCCCGGGAAACAAACACAATACACATAAATGCATCACAGATTATTTTGCGGTATTTTAAATCATGGACGCAGCTCGCGACGTAACTAGGGGTCTAGTGGACGGTATCAGTACTACATGTAAAAAATAAATAATATTTTTTTTTAATTAATTACGTTGTTTATAAATTAATCTGAGGGCCGCAAAAAGAGGAGGNTCAGAAATAATCCTTGATAATCCATGATATGGCGTTTCATCACGGCAGAATCTGTCGGTAGAATCTTCCGCATCCCCCTCCTTTTTTTTATCAATCTTTTTTTTTTTAAAGCTTTATACCCAAAATCAGCACTTTTGAAACAGGAAGTGAAATAGAGGGATATGAGGCATGGCTAGAATGGGTGATCTGTTTGGTACTTTGAGCAAAACACTTCATATTCATGTTTTTTATATATTTGTATATATCTGAGACCTATGCTATTGCCTAAAAATAGCATGATAGGTCCACTTTAAGTGTTGTTACAACCAACTGCTGAAATGTTGCACAGAGCTCGAAAACTGCCAACATAAAAACACCAGAAAGATATCTCTGGCACTTCATTCTGCACAAATTCATTGGAAATGGCACAGTTTAATTAAAAGAGTGTCTGTTTTATTCCTTAGTGCCCCTGGTGTCTCGTATCTGCCCCAGCGACACCTACAGAGTTTGGAAGAGCGGTCAGTGTCTCCGCGTCGACACCACGCTGATGGGCTTTGAACAGATGACCTGGCAGAGAGGAAACCGGAGCTTCATCTTCAAGGGACTAGGTCAGAGGTTAAAAAAAGCATGTATAAGTGGATATTTAAGTATTTAATACAATACAGCAATCAAAACAATACTGGCTGAACTGTCACACTATTTTAAAGGAACATTTTAGGAAACAAACTCTTTTCTTAAGACTCTTGGAAATAACTTAGTCGCTTGACCTACCAAATTGTGCATTGGCTTATTTAATAAGCATGTGTGTTGTTTCTCTGTCTTTGGCTGGGCCACTTCATCTTCTTTTCTACTCCCTTTCTATCATCCTGTTCTCCTCTGCTTTTCCTTTCACATTTGCATTTGTATAATGAAATAACCCTGCTTTCACGACAAAAATGTGGTGTAACATCCTTAGTCTGCTGTAGGTATTGAAGTCATATTGAGCAGAAGGATTATGATCACAATTGTGTAATATTGTAGAAAACAAGCCTCCAGGATCATCTGAATACACTGAATTCTATATAACACATTTTTAAGAACCACTCAGGGTTCATGAAATGAATGTGGGATGAAGCAAATATTCACACAGAGACACACCTGCACCTTTGCTGTTGGGTCCTCTTTCTCCGCCTGCCTTTTTATAGCCTCATCGCAGGCTGTGATTCACTGTCATTCATTTGATTCACCATTGGCTCCTCTGCATTATTTCGCCATGTTCCTCTTTTGTTTCTGTCTTTATTTCTCTCACCACTTTAAAATGATCCTCTTCTTCCCCTGGACCTTTTTAAATCCCTTCACAATGTTCTTTAATTTGCTCTTTCCTTTTCTCTGTCCCACTGCGCGCACACAAACACACTCTCTGGAAATCATGATCTCTTTTTTTACTTTTCCTTCCATATGTGCTGCAGACACATTTGTCGCATTGTATTGTAATACTTCCCCACTGTCCATTTTGAATCTGCCTCTTTATGCTCACTAACATTGTCCTTGTTTTCCCTCTTCCTGTCTGTCCCCCGCTCTCCTCTCAGACTCCAGCGCAGAGGTGATGGAGGTCGACCATGACAGGCAGCTTGTCTTCTGCGAGACCTTGTGCGTCTCGTCTCTGGCGGCACTCTCACCCGGCCGGGGGAACGGCGGCGCCTGCAGCAGCAACGACGCAGGTTTGGGCCTTCTGGGGGCGATGCAGCCCAGCGACGAGCAGGTCGCAGCCAGGCTGTCGGCCCCCGTGGTCACCACCCAGCTGGACACCCGCAACATCGCCTTCGAGAGGTCAGACGCAAACCTGACACACACACAGAATACGAATATGAGAATGTGGAGGTATATTCCAGTGGTGCAGAAATCTTCCTCTAGACCCAAACCAATTCCATTTCAAGTAAAAAAGCATAGCTATGAAGTCAGATTTCAAGCTGTATGTGTCATTTTGTGCTGCAACATTTGATAATGTGATTTATCCATTTCCAATGCAGCTGCAACAAAATTTACATCAGAGTTGCGTATAACACTGCTGAGAATCTTTATTCTATGTTAAACAACCCATCAAGAAGAATAAATGTTCCATAGAACAAGCACAATGTTCATGTTCTCCATGCACAGTAGCCTCTGTACAACACAATGTAATTCAGCTTCGGGGCATTCTCTGCTCTGAAAGCTGGCTTTTTTTTCCCTGAGAGGAGAAAATTACTCTTTTGTTGTGGAATTTCTTTCACTGTTGCTGTCTCACAGCAGTGGAACAAGTTCATGCACGTTCTCTGGTGGCTGTCAAAAAGCATTTCACAAAAAGTAGGAAAATACTAACAGAGTCCCAGCAGCACTATAGACTGTATATCAGTACAGGAGGAAGTTACAGTGGTTTCCTTTACAAAAAGTCATTCATAATGGATTTTTTATAAAAAATAAATGTGCCAGTAGTTATAATGCTCAACACCACACTGGAAGTCAGATGCATTGATGACAGATTGAGAGCCAGATAGGAGAACGAAAAACAATGGAAGAATCAGACACAACCTGACCGAGAGACGAATGGAGGAGAATAAAATTTGATGAGCAGGTGAATTTTGTTCAGTTGTTGAAGGAGCATTTTATTATGCTGACGGTACCCTTTTACCGATCAGTTTCACACAAAATGACAACGATGCAGAATTGGAAAGAAGTGTAAAGGAGGGGAGAATATATTGAGAACATTTGGGCCAATCAGAGGCATAGAGGAAGAAAGGATTGTAGTGAGGTGGTGAGATAAGACTGATGTGACAGACAGAAAGAGAGGTGAGAAAGGAGGGAAGAAATACAAAAAAGTATGGAGCAGGACAGGAACATTGATGAATAAAAGAAAGGGGTTGGGACAGAGAGAAATGAGGGGTAATATACAATACACTGAGAGAATCAGAGAAAGATAAATGAGACAATGGGGGACAAAGTACAATATGGTTGGTAAAACAGGGAGAATCAATAGTTTTGGAGGAAAGAGGAGAAAAGGAATTGACAGCAGGGAGACAGTGATAGATAGGTGGATAATGGAAAGAGTTGAGCTGAAAGGAAGTGAGTGTTAAGACTGGAGGACAGAGAGAAGTTAGCAGGGAGAGGTGGTGTTGGGGGTGTGTGTGTGTGGGGGGGGGTAATCATCCTGCTGTCAGACTTGTACTTCAGTGTCACCTCTGAGCATTTTCCGTGCTCAGCACTCCTGTCTACATGCCAATAATGTATTTATGATGCTTTAGAGCAGCCACTTTGTCAAGCACCACGGACAGGACATCTACCTGGAGTTAATAGGTCTATGTGCAGCCAAGCAGAAAAACAGCTCCGCAGTTTGGCTTTTTTTAAAAGCCAGGTTGAAGAGTACAACGTTTACTCATTGAGTCAATGCCCAGTAATTGAGCTAATACAGTAACGTCAAAGTTCAGACAGGGACGTAACTTTGTCTGACATTGAATTGGTTGGAGAACAAGACAAAGGTCACACATTACATCACATGTCATTTAGCAGTTTATCCAAAGCGACTTATATATACCCTTCAAGAAGCCTGCAATTTCATTGTAGGTACATTATCTTGCCCAAGGACGCTTCGACTAGAGACTGCCGTGGTGAGGTTGAACCACTGACCATCGGTTTGGGATGGTCCTGATTTCTCCCCCCGCCCAATGCACAGTTGCCCATGTATAGTCATGTCATAGTCCATATCAGACTTTACTTAGGCACATCAGTGCTTTCTGCTAAATGCTAACGTCAGTGTGTGTATTCTAATGTAAGCTTGTATCTTACCTTCACAAGTTAGCATGCTAACACCATATTACCTTAGCATGCTATCATTTGCTAATTAGAACAAAACCCTATATTTTGCTACAGCCAAGGCGGATGGAAACGCTATTTGACATTGAAAGCATTATTAGCTTCCCAGGATGATTAGATGATCATCCAAGAAGTTTTTCTCTGGCGACAAGATAGCATTTTGGTCATAAACCAAAGTATCGGACACATTTGAAATGATACCTGATTGTGGTGCTACAGTAGATGATATGTCAGAGTCACTGCAATTCATCCTGAGGGAACATAATGTCTGTACCTAATGTCTCTGACTGAAATCCGGTCCTGAAGGAGTTCGGTGAAGGGAATAGATCTTGAGGATGGGATATGCCTCACTAACTTCGGAGCAGACTTCCTAATTGCGTGCTGAACTACTGATCTTCACAGGCGACAACCAAGGACAGAGGCAGCAGTGTTTTCAGGCTGTATCATGGGAAAAAACAAAGCCTGTGATTTGCAACGTCACCTGTATTTGTGATTTCCTCTGATTACATAATATGCAGATTTGCATGAGACAGCAAATAATCTACAGCAAGTGTGGTTGTAACTGTATGATAAGTCAAAGTGGAGACCACAAGATAACTGATGTGTTGAATCTCTGTTTCAGGAACAAGACGGGAATATTAGGCTGGAGGAGCGAGAAGACTGAGACGGTGAATGGATATGAAGCCAAGGTTAGGAATTCTGATCTCTCACACTATCCAGAGAAAACACCGCTGTCGGAACTCAGTTTAATATTTCCTGAAAGTCCACTTCACTTGAAGAGTTCAATTTCCAAAAAGAGTCACTCCCAAGGTTATTATAAAAACATTTTTAAATAGTGATGGATTCTCTTCCTGGATTCTTTACTCTCACATGAGGAATAAATCATCAGCACATTAAAGACCAGATGGCGTATCAAATAAAGTAAAAACAAAAAAGTCCATCTATCTTTCAGGCACATGCATTACCTTGACCCCATTTGTTGTTTGTTGACCGCCTGGTGGAATCATGTGTCAGACACTCAGGACCATCTGTCACTAAGCACTTTAAACAGTAAAACACTGCTGGCCTAAAAAGCATCTTTTTTTCTGCATCATTGATTTAGAGCTACAAACATAAACAGACACTTCCTGTTGAGCTGCTCTCCCGCTGACCAATTTTAGCTCTTCCTTCCATTTGTCCGTGGCCCAGTGGAAACTCTGAATCTGCAGCCTGTTCAATATTTTATGCGCAGTTCCTTTTTTGTTGTAACTAGTGGGGGATGCCATTATTCTGCTGTGAACAACGCCTTGTAATTGTTGTCATGTATCAAGCAGACGAGGAACAAGGGGTTGTTTTTTAAATGTTTCATATATTTGTTTTCTCAGTGGCCAATTTATTGAAGTACTCTAACATTAAAATATTCTGAATAAGTAATCAAGAAAACTAAAGAATAAGTCAGTAAGTCTTTTGAGTTCTTTTTTTCAAATCTGCTCTTTGCGACCATCAATATGTAACTCTAACTTTAATATTCCTTTTTGTGGAGACCCTGCATCCTCTTAAACACTGTGCATGTATTTGTCTTGACCTTTTGGCAAACAAAGTGGTGTGCTGCGCAGTCCATAAAAAAAGAACAAACATTAAATATTCCCTCTAATGGTGCAATAACAATACTTTATGCTAATGGCTGTATTTGGCTGCATTCAGCATTCTGCAAGCCAAGTTCAAGGAAAAGAAAGTAGCTTCCCCTTTAATACTTTTACACATTCTGTTTTGATTTGCCCAGATGAAAACATATTTAAATAAATAGTACATTATTATTATGTATTATTATTGTTGATTATTATTATTATTCATTTATTATTATTGCTGTTGTTTATTATTATTATTATTAATATTCATTATATGTATTATTATTAGTATTATTACTTTTTGTTTTTGTCATATTTTTGTATTACTATTCATATTTTATATCATTTGATTCCCCATTGGTTCCTCTGAAATATTTCACCAAGTTCTATCTTTGTCTTAATTTCATTCAACTTTATTATTATTATTATTATTATTTATTTTAAATCATACTGTACATACAGCAGTGGGGCCTTAACAACAGAGCACTAGTAAATTGTCTCTTCCTCTTTCAGGTGTACGCAGCATCCAACGTGGAGCTTATCACCAGGACCAGAACTGACCATCTGTCCGACCAGAACAAGAACAAAACAAAAGGTAAGTCGTACTGCAGTGCCTCGGACACCGGCATCTATTTGTCCACGAGGGGTTTATCGTGTGCATCAGGTGCATTACAGCTGCAGCAGCTGCATTTCTCCATTATCCCCTATGTGCCCTGTGCGATAAAAGAGAACACTGATGAGTAATCCCTCTCACCTGAGCTCGATGAGATCACCCGAGGCTCCGGCTAACACCCTGTAACGTTTGCTCCGTGGCTCCGTCTTGTTTTCTGGTTCACATCATAAATCAAACCGGATTAGCCGTCTTCCCTCCCCGGACTGTCGCTGTCGGCAAGTATCAACCATCAAATGTTCCTCTGAGGGCTCGAGTCTCCCGGGTCACCATCTGCACTCTGCTAATATGCAGGACGGAAAGGACTTGGAGACGCTACAGGGACTCCAGGATGAGTCACTCACTCCATTTGCTCTTCTCTTGTACAGCATTTTGTCAAAACTGTCGAATACTTTGAGAGTGATTTATATCTAAGAGGGACACATACTGTATCTTGAGACAGATCCAAAATATGGACACGACCAACCACACAACAACAGCGCTCTCATTACTGGTAACAGATGGACCTTTGCTTTGCTTTTAGCCCCCAGTCAGTTTCTGAGTTGGTGAGGACCACCGTACATCAGTTCTGTCTGAAAGTACAAGCCACACACTAACAAGCTTTTCTTTGCTGCTCATATCTCTCTCATATCTCAATGAGCAGCAGCTGCTATTATTCCCATGGCGCTCTAAAACAAAGAGTTCCTTCAAAGTATGGGCCTTAAATGGTTTGCTCTCAATCAACCATTACTATCATCGATGGGATCCGACACAAACACATCATTTTCTGAGAGTAACAGCTGTTTAGCTTAGGTTTCACAGGACAGATACTTGTACTTGAAGTAGGCAAGGCAAAGTCATTTTAAGGACCAATCAGAACGCATTACATATGTGAATCAAAATGGTGACAGTTGGTGGGTTTTCACTCTCAGTCCAACTACACCCACACAGTCCTTATGAAGCAGATTGGCTTTTTAAAGCTAGATTATTGATGGAATGTTATTCAAATTAAAATGATATCATGTTTTGAACTTAGTTTAGGAGCAAAAGCAGGTTGTTTGAAGATAAACAACTGGGCAGGTTGCTTCAATAGGTTGGAACTGTAACTGATAGTCAAAGATTCTTGATGTTTTAATGAGGGAAAAATAGCAGATGTTAATTAATGTCATTTTGAAAAAATCAGAAACAAATTATTATGCCAGGCAGAGGACTTTTATGGGTCTTAACATGTCTGGAGTGATAATTTCAAATCCAAAGAAGGCAGCTTGATCCTCCCCCACATTTTTTTCTTCTTCCAAGACCAGTTCTCTCTTACTGCTGCAGTCAGAAATCCCTAAAGGCAGAGCTGGTTCTGGACCATTAAAACCCACAGGAGCCAAAGGGGCCTGCTGTTCTTTCAAGACTCCCCTTAAAGTACAGAAAGAACATCAAACTTTTACTGAAGTAATAAACTGTAATACTCAATACACCATTAGCCACCATATACTACAGGTAATACACTATAAAATACCTGCGCGCATTAACCTGAGCAAGGCTTGTTTCAGTGCTTATGAACTTAGAATTTGTATAATGGTCGTTTGCTATTGAACAAACTTTTTTATGTATTTACAGTGTAATGATAAACATATACAAATGTAAAATGATTTACACTAGCAACTTACTACATAGGGTTTATATATTGTGATTGTTTATAAATTGTGACTTTCAGGTGATGAATCTTTCATGAAATTCATATTACTGCAAGTTTTGGATCCAGAGATATTATTTTAGAGTGATCCTGCTTTTATTGATCTGCTGAAGAGCTGAATTCACTTCAGTTAAATCCTGTTCAGTACTGTGTGGTCCTCTTCATTGTATTCTGGCTCAAGGTTGATGAAAAGTTATCGTGAGTAAAACATTGCAGAGCGAGAGGCACCACAGATCAAACTATAGAGATTTATGAGTGCATGCTTCATCATCTCTTGATAAACAAGCATCAACAGAAGCTTTGGTTGCTCTGCAGCAGTTCATACGACTAACAGGACAGTGTAACCTCAGTCTAACCAACTCATCACTGCTGTGTGTCTCAGGTGGGAAGACTCCTCTTCAGAACTTCCTGGGGATAGCCGAGCAACACATGGGGCCCAACAACGGGGTAAGTGAACACTTTATTTACATTACATTGCAATTTTCATGATTTTCCAGCAGTCTAGTGTGCTCAATGGGTTGAGAAAATGTCATTAAACCTTTTCAAACCCAATCTAATAAATGAAACACAGCAGCTGAGCGAGGAACCGCTATGTTTTCACCTAAATGCAGTGATGAATGAGTGTTGCTGCTGGTACTCATGAAAGCTTTTTTTCCATCACCATCATATGATTCGTGGTCCACTGTGTCGACAGGAGAGCGTGCCTGCAGAGTAAAACAATGTCAGCCTTTCATAAATTGATGTTTTTTTTGTTTGGTTTATGCTGGAGAGCTTATGACTCATACCTCCTCTTTGTTTTTTTTTTCCCCTTGTTCCCCCTCCGTCATCTCTGCTCTTTTCAGCCTCTCTACACAAAAGCTTTTTTTGATGTAAAATAAAAATGTTACTAGAGATCTCTTCAATGGCCTCAAAGCAGGCACAATGCCAAATCATGTCAAAGGCTTGAAGTGTGTGTGTGTGTCTATTTGGTGACACAATTAAAGACTCACAAGGTGAAAACTATACCAGCTATACACTGTTGCAGCTGGTGATAAACTTTATTGATATAGCAGTTCTCTTAACAATGATACAAAGAGTTTTACAGAAGGAAATAAAGTCGGGCAGAACAAGGCCAAATGACATGAGCACTGAGGAGGTAGATAATAAAAAGGAATAAAGATACAAATAAATTATGCATAGACAGTCATAATAAAAACATTTATCAAACTTTCCCAATGAGAAAATATGGGATATTTAGGGAGCAAGATACTTGGTGTGTTTCTCAGTTCAGTAGGCAGAGGGTAACATATGAGGGGGTATTAAGAAACAATACAAATAACACAAACCATGTCCTGAGGAACCAGAATTGCTTCATCTGTGTATTTTTGTGCACTTCAACTGTCAAGTCTCCTCTGTTTTTGGTGCAGTTTCCACACTTGAAAAGGGACTTGAGGAATATACTGGGCTTTGAAACAGGATTCCACTCCAATGACACAGCTTTTCTTTTCAGACTTTTATTTCAGCAGTTTACTTAAACAAATGTCCAATTGCTGAATGGGTCATTTTGTGTAGGTGAAAAACCTTTGAAAACAAGAAAGATGCATTTAGAACTTGCAAGTTATCAAGATGAATAAAGCATGTAAACAATACACTTGTTTGGCAACTTCTGCCTTAATTGCAAATGTTACACAGACTGGGCAGACTAAGCACAGAAATATCCATTTTAAAACATGAAAACGTTTCTTTAAACCCAAGCTCTTTTAAAATCTCAGCAGATTGAATTAACTGGACTTCACTAGAAATGTTTAACAAATCAAATTAATTATATTTAAACAAGAAAAGATTATTTCCTCCATTTTAACTGAAGTATTCAACCAATTAAACCAGATTTTATTAGCAATATTTTTAATAAATCAAATGAATAATTTGTAACAAGATTTCCTCAATTTTCGCAGGAATATTCTGTGAATTAAATTAACAGGATTTTATTAGAAAGGTTTAGTAAATCGAAATTAATTCTTTTTAAGAATAAATATTTTATTGTATTTATTTATGTATTGTTCTTCTCCAAATCAATTTAACCTCCTAAAATCGTATTCCCTTTAACACCTATCAGAGTAGGCTAATTGCATGATGTTACATTATAACTAAAATAGGTCCTTATTTTATGCTTTTGACAACAAATGAGAGCGTCTAAGCTCAGAATGTTCTGCAAAATTAGCGCACCAAATTGAAACTTGATATATCACCAATGACGCGCAGAGTTCTAAAAGGACACGTGGCACACACGCAAACCATTTAACAGAACATAAACATGTTAGCGCACCGTGGCTCTGCGGAGCTCGCACACAACATTATGGATCTGAGTGTCTTACCGGCTGCCTGTCCTCCTGACTTGGTAGAAATGCCTCCCGTCTACACGCTTCAGTCTATCCGGCTCGCACGCACCAACTATTTAACTCCTTCTTCAGGATGCAGCAACGGGCTCTCTGATTAGGGTGATTACACCCAGCTTGCCAGAGGAGGCAGGACCGCCTGCGATCATTTCACACTCGTTTTCTATCCCTATTAATTGGTCATTTGTATTTCGAAACATATTTGTAACGCTAATGATTTAATTTATTAAAATTAAGCTATTTTGTTATATATATATTTTATTTTTCGACTACTCTGTTTGACTTTACACCAACTGAAAGAAAATAATAAATATGGAAATCATTTCTCTTCTGTTTCTTCAGTAATGGTGGCCTTCCTTTGACAAGTTAACCGAAGTCATACTTAACAGTCAACACTGAGCTACTAATTAGAGCATTGAACCAACAGAGGCACACTATAATGATGAAATACTGGAATAAGAAAACTGCTTTGTCATGTTCTCAAGTCTTTTCTCTTTTCACTGGGCTGCTGCAAATGTCACTAGGTGAGAGGAAAGCCTTGAAATCCCAGTGGTGGTGGGTTTTTTGTTCCACCACAAAAGAGAAAAGCAAATAGAGCAAGTTTGAAAAAACAGAAATCTCTACACTTTATAAAGTCATCCGTTAAAGAACGATTTATTCCAACAAGATGCACCACAGAGGGCCAGCAGCCAAACCCTTTTAAACTGCGCAATTCAGCATAAACATATTATGATTACTACTGTATATTTTTTAATATAAGTTATACTGTTTATTGTAGTACATTTTTATCTTAACTTCTTATTTTTATATAAATATTTGTTATCTTTTATTGGACATTTTCCAGACTTCTTATGTTTATAAAATTATTGTATTTAATCTTTTTATTGTACATTCTTACCGTTACTTTTATTTTGTGTCAATTCAATTAAACTAAAAAGTGTGTTCATCTGTGTGTCACAAAATAAATGAAATGTTCTTCTGATTCATATTACTGGTATTGTTTATTAACAGTACTTTTAATACATTGTATGGATCCTAACTATATTTAAAATGGCAACATGTGGCTACATCAAGATTTTTAAATATGTATCATTGACTTCCTGCAGGCTCTTGTGACGCAGATGTCGAGTCCCGCTAAGACCAACCCTGAAGCGCTGACCGCTGAGGAATACTTCAACCCCAACTCGTCTCTGAGTCAGAGGGACATCGGCCACCAGTGCCAGCTCACCACCAAGACCCAGAGGTGACGCAGACAGACAGACAGACAGACAGACAGACAGACAGACAGACAGACAACAGACAGACAGAAAGGAACACAGACAGACACACAGACACACAGACACACAGATAAACACACAGACAGGAACACAGACAGACACACAGACAGATAGGCACACAGACAGGAACACAGACACACACAGACAGATAGGGACACAGACAGGGACACAGACAGGGACACAGATAGGGACACATAAAGACAGGGACACATAAAGACAGGGACACAGGCAGACAAGGACACAGACAGGGACACAGAACCTCTTCTCTCAAGGGCAAAGTGCCAGAGCTGACAGACTGATGGACAGAGAGTAGACAGGCTCACACACACAAACAGACAGAAAGAGAGACACACAGACACACACACAGACAGACAGAAAGGAACACAGACAGACAGACAGACAGACAGACAGACAGACAGATAAACACACAGACAGGAACACAGACAGACACACAGACAGATAGGGACACAGACAGGAACACAGACAGGGACACAGACAGGGACACAGACAGGGACACAGGCAGACAGGGACACAGACCCTCTTCTCTCAAGGGCAAAGTGCCAGAGCTGACAGACTGATGGACAGAGAGTAGACAGGCTCACACACACAAACAGACAGGTTTTAAATTAGCCGTCTACTATGACTGCTATGACCACTGACCACTGGGATCCTGATGGGAAATAAACACACACATATCTTATTAGCTCAAGACACGTGATCTTTCTTTAATAAAGTTGTCCTCATCCATCTGCCAGCCTGCTGTCCGATCCTCTGCCCTGTGTTCCTCTAACGGCCCGACTATTTCCAGTTGTCAGTTCCATTGTCGTTTAATAAAAAGTGACAGGACATTATGAGGATGAAGTGTTGGAGGATTCAGAGCTGCCTCTCACTGCTGTTCTCATTATCGGACAAGTTGAAATATAAGCATTGATTCGCCTCAATTTGAACATGACTCAGCAACTTGTGGACGGTCGCTATATGCTTACGTAATCAATGTCTTTGTGTAACTGTGGCCAGCTCATCACATTACATTGCTTCAATTACACTGAAGACAGAACTGGTTTTCATCAACAAACTCCATTACTGGTCACCTCATCAGTATCCTCGTATGTGTGTTTTGTTTCCAGGTTAAAGCCAAGTTGTGGCTGTGCGAGTCCCATCCTCTGTCCCTGGCGGAACAAGTGGTGCCTATCATCGATCTCATGGCCATCTCCAACGCACTGTTTGCTAAGCTGCGTGACTTTATCACTCTGCGTTTGCCGCCTGGCTTCCCCGTCAAGATCGGTGAGTGCTGGCCGGGAGAGTGAGATGGATGGAAGATGGAAGGACGGCGGGAGGGAGGTTAAGATGATGGCTAGTCAAGTAGAAGGGATGATGGGAAATTAAAATAGATCTAAAGGCCCAGATACACCGTCCCGAAATCGGCAGNTGTTCTTCTTCTCTGTCTCCTTGATGAATACACACTACCGCCGCCTGCTGGTAAGGAGAGTTATTGCCACTCACGCATGCGCAGTTCATACGTGCTCGGCTCGGATTTGCGGTGTGTTCCAGTGCGTGAAGTCGGCAAATACGCAGGAGAGTCCGGCGACGCAACAGTCGGTGTCGGCGACTTCTCAGGTGACTGGCCGGTGTATCTTGGCCTTAAGAAGGATAAAGAGGGACAGACAAGTTAGCAATATGCGCCCTATTGTTTATTGGATTATTTTAGTACTTTTTATTTTAAGTATATCATATGTTGCACTGTAAAGGCCCTGACACACCAAGCAGTCACCAGAGAACTTGCTGACGCTGACGCTCGCGTCGGCATGTTCTCCTGCGTCTTGGCCATGTGTCGCACTGGAACACACCGCAAAGACTTCAGCCGAGCACGTACGAACTGCGCATGCGTGAGTGGCAATAACTCTCCTTACCAGCAGGCGGCGGTAGTGTGTATTCGTCATTTAAAACAGGCAACAACCGGAAGACAGAGAAGAAGAACAATTTACGTGATACAAACAAACAACAAATAGCGTGTGCGTTCCATTTTCACTCTCGTCCTTCGAAAACATGTTTCGTGCGGTACTGGAGCTATCAGCCATTGGAGTGTTGCTTGTGGAAGACATTCACAAGCAACTCAGCAGTTTCTCAGCAGTTTCGCTTCTCATGCACTGATTCGCTTGTTGAACAGCCATTCAGAGTGATTTCTTTGACTGCCTGTGGGAATCGGCCTGGTGTGTCCGGGCCTTAATGGAGCCTGAGACTTTGAATTTGAATAGCCAAATCTACAATGTAGTTATTGTGCAAATGACAAAAAAGCCTTGTAATCCTTTGAATAAAATAGTTAATATCAAGGCATGCATCGTTATTTGGATGATGAGACTGATGCAAAGATGCAAGCAGATCATAATAGCATAATCTCTCCCCATTTATTTCTTAAACTGTACTTACAAAAGGCAAGAAAGCCCAAAAAGTGACCTTAAAAGAATATTAAAATGTCATCATCTCCTGTTCTATTCCTCTCCCTGCAGAAATCCCTCTCTACCACATCCTGAACGCCAGGATCACCTTCAGCAACCTGAACGGCTGCGAGGAGGGGACGGGCGTTCGCACGGACAACGAGGTGGGGGTGGAGGGGGACGGACAGAGGGACCCCCCGAGGACAGACACCCCGTCTCCAGGCAGCGACTCCTCCAGCGTCTCCAGCTCCAGCTCCACCAGTAAGAACACACTCCCAAACACACAGCAGTATTTCCTGTTTCTGACGTATTCTTAGCTGATGAAATGACATGCGAGTGTCACCTATTCTGCAGATTTATTTCAACTAAGTTTCATGAATCTCACTACATCATTTACTGCTAACCTGGGTCATACTTCACTCCGCAAACAGTCTTAACAGTTGCGTTATTAAGTTATGTTCCTTGTGTTGTGTTTGAAATTGTTGCTGAGTCATCATTCACCTTATCACTTAATTTAGAATCCCAATAGCCACGTTAAATCTGCAGCCATGCGAAGGAAAGAGATTTACTGTGGGACAGCAAAGCTCTCTGGAAATCCTTGACGTTATCTAACTTGAGTTATAGCCCTGTGAAAATACAGGCAGTTGAGTAGAGGCAATACATTGGCAAGAGTGAAAGGAAAATGACTTGATACATGTTTTTAAACTCTTCCTCTCGCTCAGAAAATAATTGTTTTGTCCTCCCTGTTCTTCTCCTTCAGTAATGTCCTTTACTGTTAGATAACACACCCCTCCATCTCCTGCCCTTTGCCTTCCCCCCTGTGTGCTGCAGTGTCATGTCGAGCCGGAGAGATCCCCCCGTGTGTGTTTGAGCCCCCGTCTGGATACTCCATGATGGGGGGGAAACAGAGAGACAGCATGAGGGATGAGGAGGAGGACCTGCTGCAGTTCGCCATACAGCAGAGTCTGCTGGAGGCCGGCTCTGAATTCGATCAGGTGAGCTGACTCTGATAATCTTCTGTTCTGATAATACAGAAACTCACCAGTCGGACATCCCATAACAAGACCTGCTTGTTAAGCCCTGCCCCTTGGTTACTGTTGCTACACCAAGCTGTCATTCTTGCATGGCATAAAAAGGGTGTTAACTAAAGGGGAGCCAGGGGCAGTCTTTGACAATATGCTTATTTTGGCATGAATTTATATTCCAAGTAGGGAATTAGTCCTTACCCCAAGTGAAGGAGTTCAAGTATCTCGGGGTCTTGTTCTCGAGTGAGGGAACAATGGAGCGTGAGATGGGTCGGAGAATCGGAGCAGCGGGAGCGTCTCTTTACCGCACCGTTGTGACGAAAAGGGAGCTGAGCCAGAAGGCAAAGCTCTCTGTCTACCGCGCCATTTTCGTTCCTACCCTCACCTATGGTCATGAAGGATGGGTCATGACCGAAAGAACGAGATCGCGGGTACAAGCGGCCGAGATGGGTTTTCTCCGCAGGGTGGCTGGTGTCTCCCTTAGGGATAAGGTGAGAAGTTCGGTCATCAGGGAGGGACTCGGAGTTGAGCCGCTCCTCCTTCGCGTCGAAAGGAGCCAGTTGAGGTGGTTCGGGCACCTAGTTAGGATGCCACCTGGGCGCCTCCCTAGGGAGGTGTTCCAGGCACGTCCAGCTGGGAAGAGACCAAGGGGTAGACCTAGAACCAGGTGGAGGGATTATATCTCTTCGCTGGCCTGGGAGCGCCTTGGGATCCCCCAGTCAGAGCTGGTTGATGTGGCCAGGGAAAAGAAAGTTTGGGGCTCTCTGCTGGAACTGCTACCTCCGCGACCCGACCACGGATAAGCGGGAGAAGATGGATGGATGGATGGAGGCGGCGCTTGACAATATGCTTATTTTGGCATGCATTTATATTCTTTTATATTTGTATGATCATGGATTATGTATTTATGATTGTTACGTTCCCTCCAAAGGAAGAATATTTTGCCATCATCATTGAAGCATGGCGGCACATTTCCAACCCCCCCCATCCCCCCTTTCACTTAGAGTGCCTAAAATAAAAGTACTTGTTATGTGTAATGGCCCATGTAAGAATCATATTTATTAAATTAATGTTTTATAATTATTGATGCATAATTTAATCTATTACAGCTGGTTAAGGTGGAGGTAATTTAGTTTTGTATACTGCTGCTTAAACTAGAGTGATGTATGTATATTTACTAATTCATTTATATTTGGAATTATCTAATGAATCTGAATCTATAAGTAACTAAAGCTGTCAGATAAATTCAGTTGAATAAAAAGTACATTGGCTTCCAAGAACGTTGTGGAGTATTAGTATAAAGTAGCAGTATCTCAAAATTGTACTCAAGTATAGTTTAAAGAAAACACAAAAATCAAAAACATGGTAAAGCTCTCACAATCAATGGCACTTCACACAATTTAAAATAATAATAGAATCAGATGTACTGCATGGAAATCTGAACCTGTTTTGCCCCACAGACTTGCCATGCCTTGCTATGGCTGCTTCATCATTATTCGACAATTGCATTTCAGTGGAGGGTCTTGTAGGGAGACATTTCCCCTATGATATTCCCAGTAGAAGTTAGAGCAGTAAATTCACCAATAAGTCAAGCCAGAAAAATACAAACACTGAATTGGAAAAAAAGGCATCAACCTTTTTGCAAAATGAAAACAATCGACAGTTGAGCAAAATCAATAAGAAGAATACGGCATGTGGTATTAAACTCTGCCTCAGGAAAGGTGTTGTTGTGAAATCCCAGAGATGCTGCTGCTGATAGTCCTTGGCCTTATTTCAGAGGAACAGAGAAAAGTATAAATAGTCTTGGTGAGACAGGTCACAGAACATCCTCAGTGTTTTCTCAGAACAGGGGTAGAATGTGGAGGAGGCAGAAGCAAGGTTTCAGCTGAGGATTTGTACAAAATGTATTTCCCAGTGCCTCAAACTGTGACCATTTTAATTACAGATCTAATTTGGAAGCAGGGACAGATGTTAAACGACCACACTGCTGACATTGCATGCAAAACAATTTGAACTAACCTACAAATAACATACTATCTTCTTAAACACCCCAGATGCTTTTTTTTTTTATCATGGTTTTCTTTAATAATTATATTACAGTATGAAACAAATGTAAGCCTGTGAGATATATGTATGTAATAGTTTTGTTGCGGTCCAGCTTTTCCAACCTTGGATATTGCAGGTGCAGAGAGGTAGTCTACATTTACCATGTATGTTTGCTTATTGTTACATTTGTGGGGAGCTTTCAACATTGTAGAAGAGGGGTTTTGAGAATATATAGCATTTTCTTAAAGTAGGTCAAATGTTTGACTCAGATGTCTTGAATGTCAGAGTTACTAACATCACTTGAATGCACCAATGTGTTTTCCTATATGCAATAATCACTGTATTTAAATTGTTATTTTATATTATATTATTGTTTGCTGTAATATGACCCTAGACAACTTTTAGTTTCAATGATTTCATATTGAATGAAATTGTAATAAAAGGGATAAATACATGTTATAATAAATGGTGAGTATTAAGAGTACGGTATGTGCAAATCATGCAAAAGCACCCTTAAAGGAGACATTGATGTTATTGTCAGTACTAATGGTGTATTGTGTATTAACAGTGTAGGGTTTTACCAGGTGCTTACAGTATCAAACGGTATTAGTGTTTCTAAAGAGCCGGGGCCAGAATGGATTTAGACTTGTTTACATTCAGATATTCATAATTCATAATCAGCTGGCAGCGTCTCTCTCTGCTGTTTGTGAGAGGTTCTTCAGCGCACACTAACAGAAAGGAGGATGCTTTTGTTTTGACCACTTCTCCTTATCTGTCTACTACCCACTTCCTGTGCTCGCTCTCTGACTTCCTGTGCGGCCTCCTCTTTGTGTCTAGGTGACCATCTGGGAGGCGCTGACCAATAGCAAGCCAGGAACAAACACGCCGCCCTGTGATCCGAGTCGTCTGGAGAGGTCAGTCTCGTTTATTTGATCAGACATAAAAATAGGACATTTTTATTGATATTTTTGTCATACTTAACAAAGACATTTTTCAACGCACTATATTATGATTTCTGATATTTTACACATTATTTGCTACCGTTACATGATATTATATCATCTGATTAAACATATTTTGTTCATCTTCTACTCAAACTCAATTTCAACTCGGGCCACATTAGCATCATGGTTGCACTCAATGGGACAGTTTTTTATATAAGACTATATAAGAATAAATATATAAATATTTGATATATATATATATAAAATAATGTATTATATAACATTATTGCCTCTGCATTGAATTATTATTGGATAGGGTAATAACTTAAATGGAGGCTGTATAAATAGCCTCACAGTGGCTCAGAGGCAACACCTGGAGCCACCCAACACAACACACACGCGCGCGCGCACACGCGCGCACACACACACACACACACACACACACACACACACACACACACACACACACACACACACACACACACACACACACACACACAACGAGTCCGATGGGTAGGGTAATAACTTCATAATTAACTAGGTCTGAAAGCAGAAGCCTGGGGCAAATAATTGCAGGTCTCTTCAGTGCGCATGTCACAAAATGATTTAAAAAGAAAAGCCAAATCCTGGAAAAACAAAAAAAAATAAGTGACATTTTGAAAGAAAAGTCTAATTTTGGAGAAAGAAAGTAAAATTCCGAGAAAAAAGTCTAATTTGAGATGCATTGTGGGACATGTAGTTTATGGGCAATGTGCTTCTGTAAAGCGGCATGCAACCATATAATAAACATATTATATTCTTTGCACGCTCTTGTGGGGCCGCATGAAATGAAGTCGCGGGCCGGATTTGGCCCCCGGGCCTTGAGTTTGACACCCCTGGTTTACACCCATTCCACATTTTCCTAACCCCTCTATTCTCAGGAATTAACCAGGAGTTGCATACAGTGTGAAATTGATTCAAAGTATCAGTTGTTAATATGAAGTGGGCTTTTCTCTTCAAAAGAGCTGTAGTCCTCAAAAGTATAAAATCCTGAAAGACTGTCATGAGAAAGAGGATTATAGATATATTTGCTGCCGCTCCTTCACTAATATTAACTTCCTGTCACTTCTGTTATATTGTTATTTTCAGTGTTTTCCACTCGTCCATTGTATATCCCTCATCCTGTCCTCCTGTGCTGTCCTCCCGTACTCTATTCTCTTATCCATCCTGCTATTCTCCTCTCATCTCCTGTGTGTGTGTGTGTGTGTGTGTGTGTGTGTGTGTGTGTGTGTGTGTGTGTGTGTGTGTGTGTGTGTGTGTGTGTGTGTGTGTGTGTGTGTGTGATGGGACAGCTTCCTGCTTTCACAGTCGGCAGTATGTCTGTTGACTTTAGTGCGTTATCTTTACCAGGCTGGTGTTGTTTTCCCTTTGTGAGTCTGTGTTTGTGTCATCATGGCAAAATGTCGTTTTGGAGAAACCTACTGTGGCGGGAAATACCGATTTTCTGAGGCGATTTTTTAAGTCATTTTAAAGAATTTCGTAAAAAGTTAATAGTACAGTAAGTCCTATGAAAGTCTTTAAACAAAAGGTATAGTTTTGTAACAAGTCCTAAAAAGGTAACATTAAAAAAGTCACAAAGTTACAGTATTGTCTGCCAAAATTATAGTTTTGTGTGTCAAATAAAAATCACATACAGTATAAGATAAGATAAGATAGAGCTTTATTGTCTCCCTTAGGAGAAATTTGTCTTGGGCATCGAGATAATACACATAAAACATGCAGGTCAATCAGTCATAGATACAGAACAGAGATCACATTTCACATGGCAAAGAAACAAACAAGAAACATACAGGTACAGCACTTTCCCTATTGCACATATCCCTATTGCACATATCCCTATTGCACATATCCCTATTGCACATACCGGTACATAATCAAATTGCACTTTCCCTATTGCATTTATACATAAGATCAATATTGCACCTTCCCTATTGCACCTATGCATAGTGTCCGTCAGATTGCACATATCCCTATTGTGTCCATACCTATTTACACATAATGCACTTCCCCTATTTAACCTTCTCGATTGCACAAACTACATTTTTCCAGCCCTTTTTATCAAGCTCTGGAGTTGTGATTTAGATTTAACTGACAAGTTACCAAACCATGTTGTGATGCCATAACGAATAATAGACTCAATTTCTGCCCTGTAGAACATCAACATGATACATTTATCCACTCCATGAACCCTGAGCCTACGCAGACAATGCAGGCGCTGGCTTATCTTTGAGCATACCTGATCCACCTGATGGGCCCAGCCTAACTGAGCATCAAAATAAATCCCCAAATATTTAAAACGTGAAACCTGCTCAGCTCCCTCCCTGTTGATAAGGACGGGGCTGTGATCACCTACTGACTTGGGGTCAGTAGGTGAGTATGTTGTGAACATTGACTGTATAGGGGGCCTATATTGCATAGACTAAATCATATTATTTTACAATGAAAATAGGCAAACAATATGCCATGAAAATGTCATATTAATTATTTGAAAAGGTCATAGTATGCATTACATGTTACTTGTTATGCCATACAAAAGTATTTCTAGTAGCCTATGTTATAAGAACCATCAAAATGTAATTTTAAAGTTACAGTTCAGAACAAGAGACAATCTTGCGATAGGATCACACCAGTGATAGTTCTCGCTGAAGCAGGTGTTTCCAGGATCGGATCACATTTTGCCATGAAAACACAAACACAGACTCACAAGTTGAATACAATCTGCCTCAGTCTTATATTTGGTTCAAATGGAAATTCCCAAACTACAGTAATGTTAACTATATGCTTGTGTAATCCAGGAAGTATAACCTTTTTAATTCAAACATAATGGCACTCAAAACCCTTTGCTTCTTTAACCTGTGTTCTTCCTTCCTCTCCCTCACACCAGGACCCCCCAGCACAAGCCCCGCCCCCCCTCCAGCCTCTGTTCCACCCCCTCCAAGAAGCAGCCGTCCACCTGCAGCTATGACGAGCAGCTGCGCATCGCCATGGAGATCTCAGCTCGGGAGCAGGACGAGGCGGAAAATCGGCGGCGACAAGAAGAGACGGAGCTACGGCACATCATCGAGCTGTCACTCATGGAGAAATGAGATCTGAGTGGCCCAGCAGGGGTCTGAGGGGAGGGGTCTGGACCAAGGACTCATGGGAGAGAAGGGCAGTGCAGGCTACTTAAACTTAAAGGGAACATAATCCACCTTTTATGTCGATTGGAGCAATACATTCCTGAGTGTGTGCTATATTGACAGACAAAGTTAACTTCTGCTTGTGGAGAGTGTTTGCAGTGCCTACATGTACCAGGATGCATTGCACTGATGCCCACGGTCCCCACTGGCCATATTTATTGTGCTGCTAATGCCGTTTAGTCTGGCTCAAATAACGACGGCTAAACATCCAAATCAATACTGTAAATGTATCCTCATCCGTTATATCTTCTCCACACATTTTCGGATGCCATGTTTGCTGTCAGTAAAGTATCTTGTTTGCAATTCAAGCAAAGACAACAAGGAAGTTCTATTTCTGAATGACATTTAAAACAACCCCAATGCTAGCCAGAGAATTACACACTGTACCAGCCTGTAGTTCTTCCACTGAGTCACTTTAAATGATGCCAGTGAATGCAGGAAGAACACGTATTTTTAGCTCCAATGTCTCTATCAATATAGCACGCACTAATTGCTTCAATTGGCCACATTTACCATCAAAACCGGTTTGGACATCCCCATAAAAGTTGGCAAATGTAACGCGAAGCAGAGTAAATACCTAAATAATCTCTGTGGATTTCAGATCACGAAAGAGCCTCCTCTTTATTCTCCCATTGCCTTCGCCTGACCTTTCCCATGATGCCACGCGGTGATGCAGCTGTCCGGCCTCAGACAGCCAGAGAGGGACTTCAGTTTCCTCTTTCTGTTGCCACACAGTACTTTTTGTGACAAGTTTACAACCAACAACGCATCCAATACAACAAGTTCAGTGGAATGCCTTCTTGGGTGACTGATTTCTGTCTGTTTGCAGGTGCGTGCGTGTGTGTGCATATGTGTGTGTGTTTCCAAACCAGCTCTCCGCACAGGGGTCAACAGATCACCTTCAATACTGAACATGTATATATTAAAGCCAACTCTCTGCTCCGGCACTAACACACACACTCTAGTGTGGGAGTACTTTGACCTTATTGGTCAAGTTGAGTTGAGTGTCGACAAACCATTTGACTTCCTCAGTTTTGAGGGAAAATGTTTTAAAAAACTGATTGTTATGTTTCTTTTTTTCCCCACAAAATCCAGATGTACTGTACTAAGCTTGTTGGCGGATCACATGTTGACTGTTAATGGATGTAGATGACGAGTTTGAGCACAAGCTAAGCTTTAGTTTTAGCCTGACGTTAGACAGCAGGAGCACAGATATGAGACAGCCAGATAAACACTTTGTGCACTAACTAACATGTATGTGACGGTGAATGAGCTGTGGCCGGCCGTTGTGTAACACAAACAATAAAGGGACCTGATAGCGGTCTTCAATCGGATGGTGGAATAGAAATGTTACAGAAAGAGGTTTTCTGTATCTTTGCATCCTCTCACCTTACATGAGCGGATATGTTCTGTATTTCTGTGTAGTCATGGTCGATGTTTGTACAATATTTCAGCATGGTCTGCACCTGTGTGAGGTTCATTTTGTCTAGCCTGGAGGAGACCTGCAATGGTTAATCAAGCTTTGGCAGGGAACATGTGACCAAAAGAATCACTTTAAAATCTATTGACAGCAATTACCCAAATAGAAAGTTGTTTCCATAAATACAACATGCTAAAGACAAAAGCAAATGTAAAATTGCACATTGAGCAAATGTGAACCTTGCAGTTCCTGGATTTGGAAAGGTTGTTCAACATTGCTCTCATAATTGTAACTTCATGTTGCAGGGTTCAAGGCTAGCCCAACACTGATGAACATGTTTTGTTGCAAGGGACAAGGATGGCTTGTTTATTCCTTTTCTTTTTGTATCATCTTTTGAAAGAAATGTAACAAATATCAGCACAAACTGAGGATAACCCCCTCTGCCTCCTATCTACAATTCCCATTCAGCTTGCCTGGTTGATACAAAAAAGGAAATGTTAATTTTTTTACTTTTAAAGAAATATTGCAGAAATGTTTTCATGGTGTAAGCTGGGAAGTGAGTTCAGATAATGATTCAAATAAAGAAACATCTTTTGGAACAGCATCGCATGAGTGGGTTATTTTTTAATCTATTTTTAAATTACAGCTTCCAATCCCCTCACCCCAAACTAAGACTTCGCTGCAGCTTTTCACTGTAAGTTAGTTTTACGGTCCCTTTGAGTGGAGGACGGTGACGGAGGCAATTAATTTCTCAGGAGATAAAGCTGCGGCACCGTAGAGACTTGATCTGTTTTTAGTAGCTTCCACCTCCATCATCCTCCCTGTGACACGGAGTCCCAGCACTCAGCCGGATTCAAGGGGGGTTTTGCTTGTAGTTATTTCAGGCTCGACACGGAGGAAAAGGACTTACAGACTCTAAACCCTCTAAGAAACACCGCCCGGAGCGCAGAGGCTGCTTTCTGCACTTTGGGGGGTGGGATGGAGGGAATTGGATAAAGAAAATGAAATAATGTTTTTAAATGAATCAGCAGTATGCAGCTGCAACTTCTCCACCGCCGTGACTCAGCTCCACATTATGAATACAATTGGTGGGAGCAATGGGCTGCAAGATGTGTGAAGGGAATTTGTAAAGAGTCACAGACAAAACAAGGTGTGTCAGTGTCCAATAATGATGGATGCTATATTCTCACTTTAACACCCCATGTCCTGCTATTTACATTTTATTCCCCAGTTTTTCAACTATGGCCCTTCTGACATCAATTTAGGACACACACACCATTTATATCAAAATCAGCTTTTCAATTAATCTGCTCCGTTTACTAAACTAAGTTATTTTGTGAGATTAAGGGTTCTTTATTTTCCTCTTTGCTGGCAATATTTTCACATTCAAATCCAGAACGCGAATGTGAAGTATTTTAATCATCTGCTTTTTTAAAAGTCAGATCAAGTGTGTGTGTGTGTGTGTGTGTGTGTGTGTGTGTGTGTGTGTGTGTGTGTGTGTGTGTGTGTGTGTGTGTGTGTCTCTCAGCAGGGGCCCCGGTGGCCTACATCTCAGTATTTAATTACCCACATGAAACAGTAGGTAAAATGTCAGCCAGAAATAAACTGTGCTGAGCTCCCATGGAGATCACATCCCCTAGGAGACGGGATTGACTCGTTAAAATAAACGTGCAGCTAAAAACATTATTATATTTATTGTGTTAAGGGCTTGATTTTCAGATATTAAAAGGTGGTAAAATTTGAAAAAAAGTGGGAGGTGTGTTGGGCAATAGAGCTTTCAGTTGTTTAAAGTGCTCACTTTTAAAGATTGTGAGAAATGTACCCCATATATTACCTGTTTTCACGCCTCCTCGAGAGCTGCTATACGCGGGTTCAGTTCTCCGCCTGGCCAGCAGGTGGCAGTAATGTCCAGGATAATGTGGGTCAAATGTAATCATCTGGAGCTAATAGTCACCTTCTGTCTTCTTTATATAAATGTGTGTGTATGTGTGTGTGAGAGATGAAGAACACATGTACAAAAAAATGTCAAAACAAACTTAAGATATTTATTTCCTGCTAAATAATTCAATAAAAAAACAAGATATCAGCTTTGTCCTGGTTCAATTAAAAATCTGAAGAAAGACACGTCCGTCCACTATGAAAACAAAAACAAAGTCGACTGAGATCAGTGCAAAAAGAATCCTCCCGGGGGTAAGGAAGAGATTTCAAATAAAATAAAATCATTAAAACAGTAAAGTGCATGTTTGGAGAAAACAAAAAAAAGCCCTCTTGTAGTTTTATAAACTCTGAACAGGCAGCGAGGGTTAAACACTGAAAACTAACGCTTCTTAAAAAATAGGACGTCAGACATAGAAGGAGTTTGGATATTCATATTTCATTACTGTACATTAAAACCTGAAGTCCAGTTAAAACATCACATCCAGTGGTTTACATGCAAACATATGCTCGTCATTCGGTTCCTAAAACATACATCGGAGGATACACAGGGTCTCCAGTTAATCTGCTACACATTCATACTCATCATGCAGCCTTTCTCATCCAGTCCATTGCACTGAGGTCACATGGTATTGTATAGCACAGTGATGGCTCGATGCTTTTTCTCAGCGGAGCCTTTGCGACGTCTCGATGAGTGTCCCCTCCCCTGCTGGCGGTTCGGAGCGACCGTCCCGTCCGGCTCCTCCCTCTCCTCCCTCTCCTCCGTGTCCTCCTTTGGACATCTCTGTGGCGTGGAGGGGAAGCAGAGGGATGGCGAGGACCACGACTCGTCCCCGCCGTGGGACAAACCCGTCTTTTTAAAACCGTTCAACACTTTCTGCTTCTTCCAGGAGTCGTCGGGGTGAGATGTGCACATGGAGAAAGGGTCCTGGGAGTGGGCTGATATGGACCTGGAGTGTGGCCTGAGGTCAAGGTCGCTGAGGTCATTGGCCGACAGCTCCAGACAGTCTAGTTTAGCTAAAGACGCCGACCTCTTCATGAGGGAGGGGGGGGTGAGGCCCGCCTGGCGGATACGAGCCTCCAGCTCCATGGCCCTGTGCCGCAACATGGGCTCCAGGAAGCTCTTCCCCTCTTGTTTCTCTCGGAGGCCCCTCCCCCTTTTAGAAGGTCCCGGCTCTGTCTCCATGATGTCTCTCTTCTCCTGGGGCTGCTCCACTTCCTGCTCCTGGCTGTGTGGGGTCTCCAGGCCGTCGTGGAGGAACGCCTGCAGCTCCCGGAGGGTCTGCTGGATCCTCTCCAGCTCCTGGCTGCCTCGAGCCAGCCTGCTCTCAGCGTCGCAGTCGGGGCCGCACCCCCCCCTCCCACTGGAACCGGACCCCAGAGTCTCGTCTGCGTCTGACTCCAGCACCGTCACCCCGTCCACAGTCATCTGATCTGAGCAGGCCTGAGGCTGCTGGCTTTGGTTGTGAAGTCTTTGGGGCGGAGCTGAGGTCTCCAGAGATGATTGACATGTGGGGGGGGGTGATGTGAGCATTTGGCTGTCTATGGATGTGAGCACGGTGACGGGTGTAGCACCAGAGGCATGTCTGATATTAGGAGGTGAAAGGTCGTATGAGGAGTTGAGCTCTGTGTCCGACTCTTCTCCGTCTTTGGGCTTTTCTCCCTGAGTTTGTTCTGTGAGGTCCTGAGGGAGGCGGGGGGGAGTGTGTTCGGTGCTTGGGGGACACGCTGACAGTCTGACGGGGGGGTGCTCGGCGCTGGGGGAGTGAAGGGGAGATCGCTGAGTTGCCGTCACCTCCATCTCCTGCCTCAACTTCTGCTCAAGCTGCTTGGTGGCCCGCCGCACCGAGCCCGCCGGCCAATCACACGGCAGCATGGAGGGAGACTGCGGGTGAGAGGGGGGAGTCAGAGAGCCTTGGGTGAGTTCAGACAAAGTCTCCGCCTCCATCTGATGCTGAGGGCTGTGGGAGGAGGGAGGGAGCGACGAATGAGAAGAGGAGGAGCAAGAGGAAGAGGGGGTCGGAAGGGAAGCTGAAGGATGGCTTATGGCTTCTATCTCCGTGACAATATGGCGGACTGACACTCCGTTGTCATGGTGAGGGGGATGAGCTCGGTCAGGGCTGTCTTCAGACTGTGGAGATGCCTGAGGAGAAAAAGGACAAATGTAGATAATATTAGTCAACGTGTTTCTATATTAAATGCACGAGTGTGACATTTGTTAGAAATTATTGTACAGCCTTTTAAAAACTATACATAAGCACCTTTTTTGTATTAAATCATCAGGACTATCCTCTCCATACCCAGCAGGTGTCACTATGATTAATGCAGATATGGTGTCAAGGCCGTGTTATTCCCTCAGGTCCTTTACCACCGTGCAGTCCTTTCACACAGATTCTAGTGCAGTCAGATTCTAGTTTGAGTTAAAAGCTACACTCACACACAGCCCGGCTACTGCTGCGGACACAGACTGGGGGGTTATCAGTCTAGAGGGGACAGGCAACAGTCAAGTTCTGACAAAGTACTAGCAGTGTGGACCTGTCCATCAAAAGTTAATGCTACCTTTTTCAAAGTGCACAGCTCTCTTTACAACAACTCTGAATAACTGCACTTTTTTTATTGAATTGTCATATTTAGATTTTACTTAGTTACATTTCTTTCAACATTTTCATAACATTTCTATTTTATAATTTGTGTACAACTTCATTACTCTTGTGTTTATGTAATGTATGCACCAGATTACACCAAAGCAAATTCATTGTATGTGTAAACCTACACAGCAATAAACCTAAACCTAAATAAAACATTTATTGCGGTGCATGATGGGAGCCCTTTTGAATTGAATCTGCAGTTGGAAGTAGGAAGACAGAATGTGATGCTGCTGTAACAGCTGTACGGCATCTTCTGCACACAGGTAAACTGTAATAGGCCGACAGATGCTGTTTGATAAACCTACTGTTGTTGACAAACAGTCTGATGCAAGAAGCTCATAGCCTGAAGTTAAACCCAAAACATTAACAGAGCGATGAATCTGAATAAAACCGTACCTGACTAGTCCCGTATCCCTGCTCCTCTTCCTCCTCCTTCGCCTCAGTCTCTCCGTCTTCTTCCAGTGACGGGGGTGTCCTTAGTTGTGCCTGCTCGGAAAGTGTCCTGGATCTGCCATCTTGGGCCAGGCCCAGGAACTTCTCCCTGGCGCTGAAGAAGTCGATGCTGTCTGCGCTGTGATTGGACGACCCGTCGGCCTCGCCGCGGCCGTCCGAGGCGCTGCCTATCTGCAACTCGCTGGGGTTGTTGTTGTCGTCGCTGGCAGCCAATGGGAGGCGGTGTGTGAGGTTAGCAGGGCTGAGGGGGCTGTGTTTGTCGCTGGTTAAATCTGACGAGTCTATTGTGTCTGAGTCAGCTGATCCCAGAGTGAGAGGAGAGAATTCCTCTGAGCTGCTGCGCTCAGGCAGACTCAGGGTCAGATCCCCCGGCTTCTGTGTTCTGGGCACAGAAATGGACAGATGAGTGGGAGGAGCCCGCTGAGCCCGCTGGAGTTCAGGTGTGGGAGGTACGATGTGGAGCGATGGGGGGGGGTGGGGCAGAGCGGCGGGCACAGTGACCGCCACGCTCTCCGAGTTGGCCAGTCTTTCCTCCGGGACCACGACGGCTGCTCGGGGTCTGG